ACGGGCAGCTACCACTACCCCCAGACGCCCCACACAGAGAAAACCACCCACGAAGCTGCTGGGGCGACGGGGTCTCGCTCCGACGCTGCTGCTGCTGCCTCTGGCCACCGCCACAGCCTCCACGCTGAGTAGCTCCAGCCCAACTGCCACCACTCCCACTGCCGCCACTACCGCCACCCCCACCGCTGCCACCACCGCCTCCACCAAAGCCCCCACTCCTGGCACCACTCCCACTACCATTACCACCTCCACTGCCTCCACCACCTCCACTGCTGCCCCCACCACCACCCCCGCTGCCACCGCCACCACCCCTGCCACCCTTGCCCTTGCTGCTGCGGCGCTTCGCACTAGCAGAAGCAGCCCCGACGTCCTCAGCACCAGGGACGTCAACAGCAGCAGCAGAGGCGTAGGAGGGGGCAAGGGGGGAGGGGAGCACTCCTCAAAGAAGGGCGTGCGCGGAGTGCCACGAGCAGCACCTACAGGGACTACACTAGTCTCAACTGCAAGGAGGTGCTGCTCGAGTAGGTCAACAGTGAGGACTATGGGGTCAAGTGAGAGAAAGTGGTCCCTGGCAGAGCGAAGAGAGTCAGGGAGGCGGGTGACTATAAAGTAGAGAGTGATGAGCATCGGAGGCTGGTTCCTGACAAGGAACTCAGGTGGGACGGCAGCGCGGTAGCGAGCATCGCTAGTGCGAAGGTGGGAAACCAGGTCCTCTACTGTGGCAAAGGCGGACAGCTCGGGAAACAGGTAGGGCAGTAGAAGACGGCCTAGAGCAGCAGTGGCAGGCGAGGAGTAATGGGCGACTACAACGTTGTACAGTGCGTGTGCTGTCCTGTGCTGTCCGAAGTGAGCGCATTCGGCTAACGGCAGGTGGTTGCGAATGGCTAAGCGAGCAGCAGCGTCACGAGTAAGCCACTGTGAGCGAATCGCACTGTCAGCTATGGCGGGAGGGGCAAGAGCGGCGCCAGACGTGTGGTCAAACAACGAAACGTTGTCCCTAGAGTCGCTCAGTAGGTACAGCTGCAGGTCGTCGAGCCACGTGTCAAACTGGATCGGTCGGCCCTCATGAACGAACGCGAGAATGCAGAGAGAAGCCATAGCGGCGCAGCACGCAGGGCGGGCAGAGGGCGGGCAGCGCAGGGAACAGGGCAGGCAGCAGAAAGGGGGGGGGGGGGGCAAGCAGGCAGCAAGAGGCGGTGCGCGGGGCTGCAGGGGCTGCGAGAGGGCCGCAAGGGGCAGCTAGCAGGGCAGCAGGGGCGGCTAGGGGGCCACCAAGGGCGGCGCGCGGGGCTGCAAGGGCGGCTCGCGGGCTGCAGGGGCGACGGGCGGGCCTGGGCCTAGGGTCGACGAGCGGGCGCGCGGGGCAGCAGGGTCGACGGGCGGGGCCGGGGCCTAGGGTCGACGAGGGGGGGGGGGGCTAGGGTCGACGGGCGGGCGCGCGGGGTAGCAGGGTCGACGTGCGGGGCCGGGGCCTAGGGTCGACGGGGCGCGCCAGGCTAGGGTCGACGGGCGGGGCCGGGGCCTAGGTTCGACGGGACGGGCTCGGGGCCTAGGGTCGACGGGGCGCACCAGGCTAGGGTCGACGGGCGGGGCCGGGGCCTAGGGTCGACGGGTCGCGCCGGAGCCTAGGGTCGACGGACGGGCCAGGGGCCTAGGGTCGACGGGGCGCGCAGGGCCTAGGGTCGACGGGCGGGCCTCAAGAGGCGGGCGCGCGGGGCCTAGGGTCGACGGGCGGGCCTCAAGGGGCGGGCGCGCTGGACAGCAGGTGCGGCACGAAGGTCGCTAGGGGCGGCGCGTGAGCCAGCAGGGCGGCTAGTGGGGCAGCGCTGTGGTGGGCCCAAAAAAACGGTCCTAGCGAAGGACCTACTCTGAAACCATGTCAAACTAACTAACGAGAATGAATGAACTATGAAAGAGTTGGGTACAAGTACTAACCCTAATTGGGTTGTACCCCTTATGGGCTACCCTAGTATAGCCTACACAAATGTAAGCACGACAACATTCTGACATCTACCTCAATGAGCTCCTACAGGAAATGACGACGGCGATGAACGGGTCATTCAAGTTAATCTGCGACAACCAAAGCGCGATCAAGATCGCGAACAAACCTGGCTTCGTCAACCGCACAAAACACATCGCCCTGCGTTACTTCTTCGTCAAGGACGAAATCGACAAAGGAAAGGTCCAACTCGCCTATTGCCCAACTGGCGAAATGGCAGCTGACTTTCTGACGAAGAAATTGCCACATCAGAAGTTCCAGCACTGCTCGGACCTGTGCAGAGTCATCCGAAAGACCCACGTGGCACACCTCCAGGAATGAAGGGGAGTGTTGGTAGGGCCTATTTTATCAATGTAAATCACACTGCTGTACTGATGAGAAGGGTGTTTTTTTGGGCTTGCACTGATGTATTTGGGTAATGTTTTTGGGGATTAGTGTTACACTGATTTGACAGTGAAACGATTTAGGCCAGACTGATGCTCTGGGGTAAATTTTCCCTTAGCGAAGATTACCCTTAAGGGCGTGCAGGCAGGGCTGATTTTATCAAGGTAATTACCCTGATTTCAGGGTGATTTCAGACTTGTCACTTTCTGGACCCTGAGAAATCAGGTTTTTCACATTTTGGTCCCTGGTCCATTCAGAGTATTGCTTTAGCGGACCCTGAAATTTTGTGTATACTCTCAGTGTAGGGTTTTCACGGATCCTGTCAATACAGAGTACGAGGCCTGTGGACCCTGAATGCGATGTTATCGAGGCGAAGTTTCTCGGAAATTTCCTCCTGATAACCCCTTCGCATTGATTTCAGTGCCCCCCACGTGCGTACTCCTCCCCCCCCCCCCCCCCCCCCCTCGCTTTATCGAGACGAAGTTTCTTCAAAGTTTCGTTCCCATACACCCACCATCTAGATCGGGCGAATCTGTAATGTCAGATTTTAGGTTGCTGTTATTGGTCGAAATAGATGTGCTCTAACACAGCGCCAGTCACATCGCCACAGTGCCAGTCACATCGCCACAGTGCCAGTCACATTGCCAGTCACATCGCAAGTCACAGCGCGCCAGTCACAGCGCCAGTCACAGTCACCCTTGCGACACCAACAGCAGATTCGACCTCTGCTCCGTACGGAAATCCCTTTTGCGCTAGGTCAAGGCAGATTCTGCTTGAATTCCCCGTAGACTGTCAGATTTCGAGCAGATGTTGCGATTAGGGTAAAGAATGAGACTTCTGATTGAGTGAGACTTCTGTCCTCGGTAAAGAAAGAGCGCGTTACTACGACCCTGATTTTCAATTCTCGACCCTGAACATTCAGAGTTCACTACTTCTCAACCCTGAGCAATCAGGGTGCTGTTTTTCTGGAAAATGTGCCTTCAGGGTAATTTTTTTTTTTTTAGGTTGAAATCAGGGTACCTAAATTTGAAACGCCAGCCCTGCGTGCAGGGCACACCCCCCCCCCCCCCCCCCCCCCCCCCCCCTCCACTCCCGAAATATGTCGGAGCGTGATTTCCGTCAATCACGCAAGTACTGAAGCGGCCTTCCCTGCAGTAAGTGCGTTGGCAGCAGTCATGTGTCTAATTGGTCACGTTTTTATGTTTCGGTTCGGTATCCAGCACGCCAAGGAAAGGAATCTTGGCATCACGTACAGTGATGATGCCTGAACTTAGTCAATATGTATTTGCGATAAGGGTACACAAAAATACTACACTGATGCTCTAGGGTAAAATTTCCGAAACTCAATGTTACACTGATGTATCAGTGTAACGAAAATTTACACACTGATCAGGAGGGGTTTTGAGAAAGGCTACACTACACTGCTAATCGTGAGTAGCCAAAAACCAAACATAGGCCCTGAGTGTTGGAGTATGAAGGGAATTGACTGTAGCATTCCCGTAGGTGCAGCTGTACCTCACCTGTTACTATCGAAGCAGCACCAACAGCAGTTTCGGATCAGCCCGTAACAAGGGCAGGAAGATCAACAGTCGCAAATGTCAACTGTCGCGACTGTTGACCATCTAGACCGACGACTCACCAGACGAGAATGGCAACAGGCGTAACCGTCTATACTGCTACAAGCAGCGACTCGGTAACAAGAAGAAGAGCAATAGTCAGAGTCATTGTAGAACTGCCTGTAAAACGGTTAGAATAAGGGAATGTACCCTTTAGAGTACATGGCTAGCTAGATCTATTTATTATGTGTATTTTATCATTTTAATCGATCTTGTCATTTACATCCAATATGCACTAGGTTCCTACAACAAGTCTTCCGCTACCAAAACTCTCTAGAGCAATCCTATCTTATCCAAGATCCACACTATAGCAGTTTTTAATCATGCACGTGGTTTATAAGATGGACGTGATTTTTACATAATAACATAAAAAATACTGCATTTCCTTCTTAGAAAGTTTTTTTTTGCGATAGCTCTCGTGCGAATTTCCAATACATGTGATAATTGAAATAGGAGTTCTGCTATGATGTACAAGTGTACCAGGCTTATCGCAATCGGGTTCAATAACAGTCAAAGACCCGCTCCCCAATTTGTTTGAAATCTACACAGATAATCCCAGGCCCAAGTAGAATCCCGACATTTCCCAGCTTCGGAGGAGTCGGCTTTCTAATACGTACGGCTAGCCCAGTACCTTGAGGCCGCGCCGCGGTGGCCTCGTCCGTATGATCGTTACGTCACATTACATGCTGTGTTATCAGGGGCGTTGCTGGGTTGAGCATACATGGTCGTAAGGTGGACGGCATATCCGTATTACTAGTTCAACAAAGCTAGGATGGTGATGGGCGGCGATGGTCGTTCAGGCGACGTGTGATTATCCGAGACACCGTACGAATCGAATATGATGATAGGCGACGGTGTTCCATTGGCGAAAAGCGCGCTGGCCGTGAAGGATATTAAGGTGAGGTTGACGCCGCGATGGACTGTTGAGTCGACTCAACAGGTGTTTCTCGATTGAAGCTTTGAAGGAGTCTCTAAAGGCACCGTACAGATTGAAGATGCCGATGGGCGACGATGGTGTTTCTCGGGCGAAAAGCGCGGCTGCTGTGAGGGAGATTAAGGTGGACGCCACGAGGGACGAGCCGCTGCTATGCCATCGGCTGGAGAAGGATAACTTCCCCGTGGTGCGTGCTGCTGACGTGGCGTGTGCTGCTGACGTGGCGTGTGCTGTTGACGTGCTGTCTGCTGCTGGTGTGCGGCTTGTTCAGCTGACTTGATGCATGTGCTGCTAACGTTAGCCCATCCGTCCACCCTTCCAACCCCCACGCTTTATCCACGTGTCAGGTATTGAGAGGAGCAGTGGCTGATTGGCCGGCGCTGACCCGATGGGACCTCATCAACAGCTCTCACGCACGGGAATACTTACAGGTGCACGACATTCTGAATACTTACAGGTGCACGACATTCTGAATACTTACAGGTGCAAGACATTCTGAATACTTACAGGTGCAAGACATTCTGAATACTTACAGGTGCAAGACATTCTGAATACTTACAGGTGCAAGACATTCTGAATACTTACAGGTGCAAGACATTCTGAATACTTACAGGTGCAAGACATTCTGAATACTTACAGGTGCAAGACATTCTGAATACTTACAGGTGCACGACATTCTGAATACTTACAGGTGCAAGACATTCTGAATTGCGCTTGACTTTCAGGCGTCTCAGGACTTCAGCTCCCGTGCAGCGCATTATGACTGACTTGAGCTGAACTCCTGAGGGGAGCCAAAAGCGCACAGAGCCACTCACCTCGACCACGCGACTTTCGAATCAAAAGCCACCTCATGCTGACCCCGTTCCTTCCTCTCCCATTCCATGCAGCATTTGGTGGGATCTGCTCCCGTGCAGCTCATCATGACTCGCACAGAGCCACACATCTCTGCTGTGCGCTCACAACAATCACATGCGACACAATCACATGAAGCACAGTCACATGCATCGCAGCAGCAGCCCTTGGCTTACTTCGATGGAGCATTGCGCAAGCATGAGCGGGTGAGTTGAGTCCTCATCTTTCCGCTGTTTGTTTCCTAACTTGCCTGTTTCTACTTTTGAAAATGGTTGCATTTAAATAGATCAGAACAGTTGTGACAAAAGATCATCTGTGTTTCACCTATGTTCCTTCTTGGACTGACTCTTCCAAGTAGCAGAAGTCTTCCAAGAATTCTCACCCTCCCAAGTCTCCTCACCCTTCCAAGCCTCCTCACCCACCCTCCCATGTCTCCTCACCCCCCCATCCCTGATATTGCTCTTGTTCCCTGATCCAGATAGCAGCTACATTTTCTGATGCTCTTGCACTGGCGTGTGCGTCTCCCCTTGCTGCGGGAGCGGAAGCAAGCACCAGGGGGAGAATCCATGGTGTTGCAGCTGCCGCTCCTGTCACGGGTACTGCTGACAGTGGTGCTGTCACTCCTGCCCCTCCTGCCACCGGTGCTGCTGGGTATTGTGCTGCTCGCAGTGCTGAGGGGAAGGGAGACAGGGCCCGACTGCAAGGGGGTGAGGGGAAGTGGAGTGCTGGTAGTGCTGGTGCCGCTGGTGATGCTGCTGGTGGTGCCGGTGCTGCTGGTGGTGTTGATGGTGGTGCCAGTGCTGCTGGTGCGGCTGCTGCTGCTGTTGCTGCTGGCAGTTCTGAGGAGACAGGAGACGGGGCCCGACCGCAAGGGGGTGAGGGGAAAGGAACTGAGGCGGGAGGGGGCGAGGAGGAGCAGGGCGGTGGGCTGCAGGAGATGATACGAGCCATGGCGTCCGGTGCAGCTCCACTGGCGTTCTACCTCGCCCAGGTGTGTTTCTTCTAAAAAAAAGTCGTCTAAGTTTTGAGGCGCCTCAAAAGGAGATGATACGAGCCATGGCGTCCGGTGCAGCTCCACTGGCGTTCTACCTCGCCCAGGTGTGTTTCTTCTAAAAAAAAGTCGTCTAAGTTTTGAGGTGCCTCAAAAGGAGATGATACGAGCCATGGCGTCCGGTGCAGCTCCACTGGCGTTCTACCTCGCCCAGGTGTGTTTCTTCTAAAAAAAAGTCGTCTAAGTTTTGAGGCTCCTCAAAAGGAGATGATACGAGCCATGGCGTCTGGTGCAGCTCCACTGGCGTTCTACCTCGCCCAGGTGTGTTTCTTCTAAAAAAAAGTCGTCTAAGTTTTGAGGCGCCTCAAAAGGAGATGATACAAGCCATGGCGTCTGGTGCAGCTCCACTGGCGTTCTACCTCGCCCAGGTGTGTTTCTTCTAAAAAAAAGTCGTCTAAGTTTTGAGGTGCCTCAAAAGGAGATGATACGAGCCATGGCGTCCGGTGCAGCTCCACTGGCGTTCTACCTCGCCCAGGTGTGTTTCTTCTAAAAAAAAGTCGTCTAAGTTTTGAGGTGCCTCAAAAGGAGATGATACGAGCCATGGCGTCCGGTGCAGCTCCACTGGCGTTCTACCTCGCCCAGGTGTGTTTCTTCTAAAAAAAATGCGTCTAACTTTTGAGGCGCCTCAAAAGGAGATGATACGAGCCATTGCGTCTGGTGCAGCTCCACTGGCGTTCTACCTCGCCCAGGTGTGTTTCTTCTAAAAAAAGTCGTCTAAGTTTTGAGGCTCCTCAAAAGGAGATGATACGAGCCATGGCGTCTGGTGCAGCTCTACTGGCGTTCTACCTCGCCCAGGTGTGTTTCTGTATCAAGTGAGGGCCAGTGGAGCTGCCAGTGTTCCTAGGCTAGGCAGTAATGAGGAAGAACAGAGCAGGTCTTGAGTGAGACCATTAGGCTCTTGAGCTTGGGGGCATCTCATGGCAAAGCAACGCTGTGGGAGCAGAGTGGGCAGTGAGGCGTTAGGTTACGGTACGATTCATTGTCCCAGGGTCTTCGCTCAGAAGCGTCACTCTTTAGAATTGCTGCTCTTCCACTATGAGCGAAGACCCTTGGGCAGTGTGGCGTTAGGTTACGGTACGATTCATTCCCACAACCCCCCTTTGCAACGTTCTCTCCGCCCCCTCTACTCTCCCTGCTCTCCCCCCCAAACATTCTCCCCACGTGCCACGCACATTCCACGAGCAAAACCCCATCTTTGATCGCCAGCAGTCACACGGATCAGTTCTCATGAAGCAGGGCAGCAGTGGGAAGGATCGTACATGGGCAGTCCCAGTAGCAAAGAGACGACAGTCACATGGGCAGCTCCCGCTCACCTAATCTCCCCCACCCTCCCCTTTCTCCCCTTTCTCCTCCCTCCGATCCCTCCCACATTCTTCCCACATGCCTCACTCACATCACCTATACCAGTTGCAGGATCCCATCTTGGTTTTGAGTCGACTCAAAACTTCTCCCACCTCCCATCCCTCCCACATTCTCCCACATGCCTCACTCACATCACACATATCCATTCCAGAATCCCATCTTGGTTTTTAGTCGACTCAAAACTTCTCCCACCTCCCATCCCTCCCACATTCTTCCCACATGCCTCACTCACATCACACATACCCATTCCAGAATCCCATCTTGGTTTTGAGTCGACTCAAAACTTCTCCCACCTCCCATCCCTCCCACATTCTTCCCACATTCTTCCCACATGCCTCACTCACATCACACATACCCATTCCAGAATCCCATCTTTGATCGCCAGCAGCCACATCAACAATTCCCACTCTCGACCTTGCTGCAAGATGCTCCTATTGTATGCTATCCAGGATTCGCAAAATTTCCTTTCGAGTAGGCATGAGCATGGGCTGGGCAAGGGCGCGGCCAGAGTGGCCACTTGTTGAACACATCTAGCCAGACGTCGGCCATTCTGTTGCAAGATTGCTGTTTTTTTTTTTGTGTGTGAACATGTTACATCTTTTGATTCAACATCAACATGTTACATCTTTTGATTCAACATCAACATGTTACATCTTTTGATTCAACATCTCCCAACTGCCTGCCCCTTCTCCGCCTGTCCAGCCATTGGTGCTGGACGCATCTCGCCTCACGTCGTCCAATCTGTGGATGACACTTGGCGGCCCGTCCTCCTCCTCGCCTCACTACGACCTCTTTCACAACCTGCTCTGCATTGCAACCGGCTCTAAAACATGTGAGGATGGTGGTGGTGGTGATGGTGGTGGTGAGGATGGTGGTGGTGAGGATGGTGGTGGTGAGGATGGCGATGGTGGTTATGGCTATAGTGATGGTGATGAGGGTGGTGGCTGGTGGTCCCTCCTCCTCCTCCTCACCTCACTACGACCTCTTCCACAACCTCCTCTGCATTGGAACCGGCTCTAAAACAGGTGAGGATGGTGGTGGTGGTGATGGTGGTGGTGAGGATGGTGGTGGTGAGGATGGTTGTGCTGATGGTGGCGATGGGGTTGGTGGCTGGTAGCCCGGTCCCTCCTCCTCCTCGCTTCACTAAAGGCTCTTGCACAACCTGCTCTGCATACTTTCCAGCTCACTCTGTTGTGCATCTAACCTCAAGACTTCAAGTTCCACTAGTTCTGAACATCTGCAGCTCAATTAGTTTATGTCTTTTCTATGCTCAATTAGTATGACATGCCTGTCCTATCCTTCCTTCCATCCCACTCCACGAATTCCGTCCTCACAGTTCCCTTGGTACCCCACTCCACCACTCCCTACCTCACTGCACCAGAGCAGATCGTCTATGGCTCCTACCAGCAGCCAAGCTTTTGTTTCGTTTCCTCCTTCTATCCTCCGTCGTACCCTTCCTTTGATACCCCACTTCACCATATCCCACCCCTCCCCACCGCACTGCACCAGAGCAGTTCGTCTGTGGCCGCCATCATCAGCCCATCTGCTGGACCCCATGCCTCTCTACTCCGAGTCATCCAATCACGTGTCAGCACCTGTCACCTGTTCCATACTCTCTGCCTTTGTGTGTGTGTGTGTGTGTATGTGTGTGTGTGAGTGTGTTCGTATCAGTCGTCCTTCTCTCTGATCGCTCCCGTGGGTGCCTTTCTTTTCTCCACTAATTTCCTCCATGCATGCTTTTTTTCAAAGTAAGCTAAGCTTACACAGCAGCTGATATCATCGCATTTTTCTTCTGCTTTTATGTCTGTCACCTTACTTTCCTCTTCCCTCCTCTCGCTCTCTCGCCTAGCCTCTTCCCTCCCTCTCTTACCTACTCCCTTATCTCTCCATCTCCTGTCCTCCTGTTCCCTTGCCATGCAGCCATCCCCATCCTTCTCCTCTCCATCTCTCTCCAGCAGCAGCAGCGGCAGCAGCCACGGTGACTCTCCATGCTGGAGATGCGCTCTTCCTGCCTGAAGGCTGGTGAGGGAGGGGAGGGAGGAGGGAAAGGGGGGAGGGGTCCGGAGAGCGGGTGATGAGCACATGAGGTGCTGGTGTGTGGTTGGGTGACTGGCATCGGCAGCAGCCATGGTGACTCTTCATTCTGGAGATGCGCACTTCCTGCCTGTGGGAGGAGGCGTGAGGGTGAGGGAGGAGGTGGGGGGTTGGGGAGGAATGGTGAGGGTAATGTGTGCATGGTTGGGTGACTGGTAGCAGCATGCTAGCATGCCAGCTAATACATGGATGCAACCATGGCGTTGCATGCATGCAGGTACCACCAGGTCAGCAGCACACCAGCCACCATGCCACCATGCCACCATGCCACCATGCCACCATGCCACCATGCCACCAGCCACCATGCTAATACTTGCAACCATGGTGTTGCATGTTCGCAGGTACCACCAGGTTACCAGCACACCTGCCACTATCGCCATCAACTTCTGGTGGCCCTCCCTAGTATGCCTCTCGTTTGGGTCACACATGGATCTGTACTATGCGAGGAGAGTGCTCACAAGGTGCGACGCGTGTGATTAGTGTGTGATTGCTCACAATTTACTTGATCCATTTCATCGTAATTCACTAGGTTTGTGAATACCCGATATGTAGCTTTAATAAGGTGTGATAGGTGCACTGTGCACTGATTTGATCTGAAGAGACGCAGAAGATTATTTTTTTCCATCTATTTCTTTGCCTGACCTGTTTTTCTCGTTTACCATCCCTTTCACCTGCCCCTCCCCACCCTTTTCCTCTTCCTTCCCGTCCCCGCATTCTCTGCTGGTCGAAGCCTGCTTGAAGCTCATAAGGTGTGTACTTCTCTTCATCCTCTTAATAAGCCTGCCCTGCTTCTCGCAGATGCTCAAGAATCATCTCAACAAGTTGAGTCTTTTTTTAAGCCTCCTCGGAAGAAACTTGTTCTGTCGGAGAACACCCTTCCTCCGGCACCTGCTCTACTTCCTGTTGCCATTCTGCTTCCTTTCCTTGCGTGTGGTGCTTCACCTGAGCCACTTGAAGGAGGTCTCCCCCTCACCCCGCAGGTTCCCTCCTAGTGGCATGGTGCTGGATTGTCTTTTGAGGATTCTCAAAAGTCACTCCAATGATCTAGAGCAACTGATTTCACTATGATGAGAGAATAACAAGTGAAAGCATGGATTGTGTGTTCGTGACTGAACTTACCTTGCCCAGGCTCAAGTCGCACATTTCACAATGTGCGGCTTTTGAGGCGCCTCAAAAGAGATTTCACAATGTGCGGCTTTTGAGGCGCCTCAAAAGAGATTTCACAATGTGCGGCTCGAGTTTGGGTTGGTCCTCCCTGATTGGTTCAATGCATTTCGCCTCTTGGTGCTTTCCCTCCCATTCCCAACGTCAAATTCGTCCTCCCCCTACTCAGCCTCGACTCCTAATACAACATTTGCTACACCCCAATCTACACCCGCGCACCACTGTCATCACATATGCACAAAGTGCATATTTGGTGACACTTCGCACACACCATTGAATGCTGTGACTATTGTTGTCTCCTTGGCATCCGTGTTGTGCCTCTGTGGCTGGTCGCAGGAGTGCAAGGCAAAACGAGCAGCATCGATGGGCGCAGGAGGGGTGACCGGCGAAGGGGCTGCTGGGGAACAGGCACTTGGGGGGCGACAGGCAGTTGGGGGGCGACAGGCAGAGCAACAGGAGAGGAGGGAGATGGGGGAGGAAAGGGAAGAGGAAAGGGAGGAGGAATGGGAGGAGGAAAGGGAAGAGGAAAAGGAGGAGGAAAGGGAAGAGGAAAGGGAGGAGGAAAGGGAAGAGGAAAAGGAGGAGGAAAGGGAAGAGGAAAGGGAGGAGGAAAGGGAGGAGGAAAGGGAGGAGGAAAGGGAAAAGAAAAGGGAGGAGGGAAGGGAGGAGAGAAGGGGGGATGTAAGGGAGAGAGAGGAAGCGTCAGAGGAAGGAAGGGGAAAGGAGGAGAGGAAGGAAGAAGGGAAGGGGAGGCGGGAGCTGATGGAAGGGTTAAGTGAGAGGGAGAGAAGGGCAGTAGAATCTTTCGTTCTCGCGGCTGTTGCCGCTGCTTCTGCTGCTGCCACTACCCCTCTATCAACTGCTGCAGCTGCTGCTACTCCTGTTGGTGCTGCTGCTGCTCCTGCTGCTGGTGCCTCTCCTGCTGCTGTTGTTCCATCCTCTGCTGCTGGTGGATTGGGGAAACGGAAACCTGTTGGTGCGAGGAAGGAGGGAGGGAAGCGTAGGCGAGAGGACAGGAGACACAAGGGCGAGGAGGGCAGTGGGGCGGGTGGTGAGTCAAACGAGGAAGGAAGAAAGAAGAAGAGAGGGGAGTGGGAGGAGAGGCCCGAGGAGAACGAAATGGAGGAGGAGGAGGAGGAGAAGGAAGCGGAAAAAGGAAGAGATGCTGCTTCGAGAGTAGAGGCAGTCATTGCTGCTCTACCCCCAGCCTCTCTGCGCAATGTGCTTCTAGTCATGGCTGTACGTGCTTCCATGGCCCTCATGTGCTTCTAGTCATGGCTGTACATGCTTCCATGGCCCTCATGTGCTTCTAGTCATGGCTGTACGTGCTTCCATGGCCCTCATGTGCTTCTAGTCATGGCTGTACGTGCTTCCATGGCCCTCATGTGCCTCTAGTCATGGCTGTACGTGCTTCCATGGCCCTCATGTGCTTCTAGTCATGGCTGTACGTGCTTCCATGGCCCTCATGTGCTTCTAGTCATGGCTGTACGTGCTTCCCTTGAATACACTTGCTCCGCATCTCATGTGACTTTTGAGGCGCCTCAAAACTAGTCGTGGCTGTACGTGCTTCCCTTGAATACACTTGCTCCGCATCTCATGTGATACGAGCTACACCCACAACCTTAGCATGCATGCTCTGTCTCTCCCTTGCCGCTCTTCTCCTCCCAAGCCCCCCTTCACACCGTCCTGAGCCCGCCCACCCTTTAGCAGAAGGGTGGGGGGGCTCTTCTGCACGCACGCCTTCACACCTTCTGCTAGTGCACTCTCTTGCCTTCCCTCCTCGCCTTTCCATGCAGCTTCTCGCCCCTGCTGCTTCCATCATCATCCCTTCCATGCAGCTTAACAGACCCACAACAACCTGACACACTTCTCTTGCTCTCTCTTGCTCCCCTTTTCCCTCCCTCTCCTCCCCCCAACAGCACGCCTTCCCGCTCTCCGCACACCATATGCTGCTCCACACACTCTCGCTCCTCCCAAAGGTTTCCTGTCCTGTCTCTCCTTTTCCCTCCCCCCCTTTTTTTCCCCAACAGCACGCCTTCCCCCTTTCCGCGCACCATCTGCTGCACCACGCACTCTCGCCCCTCTCTGCTTTCCTCATCACCTCTCGCCTAGATGCTCATGCCGTGCCTCCATCCCTTCCCACCGCTGCCACCACTGCCACTGCTGGTTTCGGTGATGATGCTGCTGCTGTTGGCGCAGCTGATACTGCTGCTTGCGGCAACGGAAGAAGCAGCAAGGGCAGCAGAATAGACGACAGCAGCGGCACCAGCAGCGGGGGAGGGTTCTTTGAGGAGTTTTACGATGCTCTTCCTGATCCCGCCTCTGCAGCTGCTGCAATACTCCAAGGCGTGGAGGAGCACAGCAAACAGGTCAGCGGCCATTCTGGGGAATGTGCTGGTATGTAACTCTCTCTCCACAGGGTCAGATCTTCAGCTTGTCTGCTGCTAGAAGCAGAGTTGATTCCGTTGCCTGACAAAGATGTCTGCATTTTCAGTCAGCCACTGGAAGCTGATGTATGTCTGCATGCTGCGCTTGTGTTTGCCCTGGCTTGGTGTGAACGCTCTAGCCCCCATCTCCAATGTGCATCCAAGCGCATACCTTGCCATGTCGTACCTGCCACCTGCCACACCTGCTACCCCTGCCTGCTCTCTGTGCTGCACCCTTGGAGTCAGCACAGAGAGCAGGCAGGGGTGCTTCTGGTGTGTGTGCGATTGCAGCTTTTTCAAACACATCCTCTCCTTGTCCATCCCCACACCCACACCCATGCTCATCAATCACCCCTTGCAGTCGCTGAGAGGGCTTGTGCATCTGGTGTGTCCGTTTGAGGCACTGATAAGGCATCCTTTCCTACAGTATTTCTTTCCCCTCCCACCACCCCTCAATCCCATCACCCGCTTCACCCTCTCAACCCCCTTTTGCAGTCGCTGCAAGAAGTGGTAGAGCTGGTGTGTGCGCTTGAGTCAAGGCCCGGGTAAGAAACAGCTGTAACAGCTGCAAGTGTAATAGATGGTCTCTGGTTGCTTGTCAATTGAAAGCATCGCCATGGAATGCAATGCAACTGACATGCTACACAACAGACTGTTCTTTCAAAGGACCCTGGCTCTCCATGGTTTCATGTTGCTAAATTACGAATTTGATCATAAGATCCCTCCACCATAACAGCGCTCCCTTCGTATTGAAGATTTGTTCGAGCAAGTTCATGTAGATCCCCCATTTTCCGAACAGAAAAAAGAAAACACCACCAACCTGAGTTCGGCATGAGCTTGCCTCGCAAGCACAGCACAGGGTGTGCAAGCTACGGTTTCCTTGTCCCGACTTTATTACAGAGGCCAGAGAAGTGTGTCCTTCTCACAATAACAAATGGTAAAAAAAAAAAAAACAAAAAAAAAACTCCTTCGTAACTATTGGTAGGTGTCAAATGTTGTAGTCTTAGTGATGTGTGTTATAGGGGGTACAACTGTTAGGGTTAGGTTTATGTACCCCAACCAACCTTAATGAAACCAACACTTTCATTCTTGACATGGTATCACCTAGGTTAGGATCCCGTTCCTCTCGTTCACATCCGTAGCGCCCGAGCCTGTCCCGTACCCTAGTGCCCGTTACGCCCGTACTGTCCCCTAGCGCCTCTCGCGCTCGTCTCTCTCGTGCCCTAGCGCCCGCTGCGCCTGCGTCGCGTCGCCCCTGCTGTCCCGTCCCGTCCGTCGCCCCTGCTGTCCCGTCCCGTCGCCCCTGCTGTCCCGTCCCGTCCCGTCGCCCCTGCTGTCCCGTCCCGTCGCCCCTGCCGTCGCGTCGCCCCTGCTGTCCCGTCCCGTCCCGTCGCCCCTGCTGTCCCGTCCCGTCGCCCCTACCGTCGCGTCGCCCCTGCTGTCCTGTCCCGTCCCGTCGCCCCTGCTGTCCCGTCCCGTCGCCCCTGCCGTCGCGTCGCCCCTGCTGTCCCGTCCCGTGCCGTCGCCCCTGCTGTCCCGTCGCGTCGCCCCTGCTGTCCCGTCGCGTCGCCCCCTTCTGTCCCGTCCTGTCCCGTCGTCCCTGCTGTCCCGTCCCGTCCCGTCGTCCCTGCTGTCCCGTCGCGTCGCCCCCCTTCTGTCCCGCCGTGTCGCGCCGTCCGTCCCGTCCCGTCCCGTCCCGTCCCGTCGCACGCGCCCTGTGCGCCCTGCCCGTCCATCGCGCCCCCGCTGCGCCCTGCCCGTCCGTCGCGCCCCGTGCGCTCTGCCCGTCCGTCGCGCCCCGTGCGCCCTGCCCGTCCGTCGCGCCCCGTGCGCCTTGCCCGTCCATCGCGCCCCCGCTGCGCCCTGCCCGTCCGCGCCTGTCGCGCCCGTCCCTGCCAGACGCGTCCGTCCCATCGTGTCGCACTGTCTGTCACGCCTTCGCAGGCCCTTTAGGTGTTTAGGGTTTCGGCAGCAGCAGTATCCACCTCTACGCTTCCGCTATGGCGACCCCTAGGGTCCTGCGCTTTGACGCTGAGGGTAGGCCGCTCGAGTTCTCGGTCTGGCTCCTGCGTGCGCGCCGCCTCCTAGAGAGCTAGGTTCAGGCACACGAGACTCTGTGGGCGCACGCTTCCGGTGACCTACCTGAACCAGCTGACCCTGCACCCTTAGCAGCTGACCCCACACCTGCAGACAGCGACCGTTATGCACGCAAGCGCACTGGCGTGACAGTGTGGAAGTCGCGTGACGCTGCGGCCTGCATCGCCCTCAGCAGCCTCCTCCCTGAGTCTGAGGAGACCCACTTCACTCAGCTTCGCACGGCTAGTGAGTTCCTGACTGCGATCAAGGCCCGCTATGCTACTCCCACCATTGTCTCTCTTGGTCGCATGTTCCTTCCGTTCCTGTTTCCTGACCTCGCCTCGTTTGAGCGCACTGCTGACTTGATCACTCATCTGCGCTTGCTCGATTCTAGCTACCGCGCTGCTTGCACTGACGCACAGCTTGCACTGCTCCCTCCCCCCATGGCGATTACTATCTATTTCATCGCCATTAGCCTCCCTGACCGCCTTGCCTCGGTTCGTGACGCGCTTCTTCTGAAGCACCCTAGCGAGCTCACTGTCGAGGTCCTTGAGTCGGCCCTCAAGGACGTGGAGAGCAACCCCCGCTCGGTAGCCTCTACCTCTGGTGTTGTGCCCCCTCCACTGTTCCACGGGTGCACTGTCCCTCAGCTGCCCACCTTTATTGTCTCCCTCGCCACTGCCGCTACTGACGTGACCGTAGCTGCTGTTACGACTTCTTCGCGGTCTCGGGGTAGGAGTGGCAGGAGGGGTGGTCAGGGTGCGGGCAGAGGCGGCGGAGGCGGTGGGGGTGACGTGGCGAGCGGCGGCGGCAGGAGTGCAGGCGCTGGAGGAGCGCCTCGTGCAGCGGCCGATGACTCCCCTGCTGCAGCTGGTGGAGGTGACGCCCGGGTTCGTCAGGCACCTACCGGTCTGCCAGCCGCAGGGGGTGGAGCAGCGGCGTGGTACCTGACTCGACGACAGCAGCAGCAACAGCAGCCCCTCCCCTCGCAGCAGCCACAGCAGCAGCAACGGCAGCAGCAGGTTTCGGGGCAGGGGTCAGGACAGCGTTAGCTGCAACGCGGTGTCGTCCACCCTCCCTGCACCTATCACGTTCTGACAGGTGCCCGCCGCAGCCAGCCTTGTGGCCGCAGCCACCCACCGGGTCAGTGCTTTGCTCAGCTTAGTGACACGGTTCGATTGGCCTACGGCTTTGACGGCCCTGCCCCTGACTGGCTTCCCCTTGTTCAGAAGTACAGCCCCGCTCTGTGGGGCATGTCGGCTTCTCAGTTGGTTGATCTCGTCGGAACTCCTCATGCTATGTATGCTGTTGTTGACTCTAGTGCTTCTGACTCTGTTTACTCGAGTGTTGTTAGCTTATGTGCTAGTCTTGCTGAGGTGCTTGTTGCTAGTGTAGGTACTTGTGTAGACACTAGTCCAGGAGCTACTCCGGAGGATGCTTCGCTGTCTTTCACTCTAGACTCCGGAGCTTCCCACTGTTTCTTCCGCGACCGCACGACACTTACCCCGCTTCCTACGCCAGTCTCTGTAGCACTGGCTGATCCCACTTCGGGACCAGTTACTGCTCGCTACACTACTACGCTTCCGTGCCTGGCTGTTCCCTCCGGTTCTCTGACCGGCTTCCACGTCCCCTCGTTCTCGAGGAACTTGGTGGGCGTGAGGCCGCTCGTGAGTCAGCACGCGGGTGTGTGGATTGAGCCTTCTGGCAAGATTGCGGTTTGTGTCGATGGGGACACGCACGCGCCTCTCGCCACATTTACCGCTGAGCCGGGCTCTGGTCTCTACACACTTCACACTGGCCCCCGAGGGCAGCAGAAGCACCAGCAGCAGCTACTGCCCTCGACCCTTGTCACTGTCCCCCATCAGGTTCCCGCGTCTCACCAGGTTGCCGCATCTCCCCAGGTAGCTGTGTCTGGTCAGGTTCCATTGTCTGGTCCAGTTGTTGCGTCGTGCTCCTGCCGGTCGCTTGCCCACCCCACTGTTTTGTGGCACCACCGGATGGGGCACCCGTCCATTTCTCGCCTGCGCGCTATGTCTAGTCAGCGTCTTGTCTTAGGCCTCCCACGTGTCTTGCCGTCGTTGCTGCCTTCACTTGCGCCACTCTGCGGTCCCTGCGTTGAGGGTCGGATGCGTGCCACCCCTCACTCCTCCTCCCTTCGTCCGGCCACCGGGCCCTTCGAGACTCTCCACTTGGACGTCTGGGGCCCTGCCTCGCGCCCTGGCCCTGAGCGAGAGAGTTTCTTTCTCGTGGTCGTTGACGACTACTCCCGCTACACCACAGTGTTCCCCCTGGCAAAGAAGTCCGACATGACTTCTACGCTGATCCGGTGGTTGCTTACCACTGCGGACACTCGGGGTCGTCATGTCAGCTGTCTTCACTCCGACCGCGGGGGTGAGTTTCGCTCTGGCATTCTCGTTGGATTCTGTCGCGAGCAGGGCATCTGTCAGTCCTGGACGCTTCCAGAGTCCCCACAGCAGAATGGGGTTGCTGAGCGCCGCATAGGCTTGGTCATGGAGATCTCCCGCACCTCCATGACTCATGCCAGTGCCCCCCATTTTCTGTGGCCCTACGCGGTTCAGTACGCCGCTCACCAGCTGAACCTTTGGCCACGTGTCTCTCAGCCAGAGGTTTCACCGACCAGTCTTTGGACCGGGACCCCTGGTGCTGCGTCGTGTTTTCGTGTCTGGGGTTGCTTGGCACTTGTTCGCGACACCTCCGCGGACAAGATATCGCCTCGCGCTGTTTCCTGCGTGTTCCTTGGTTTCCCTGAGGACTCGTCTGACTACACCTTTTACCACCCTCCCCTTCACCGGTTCTTTGACTCTCATGACCTCCGTTTCGACGAGTCTGTCCCCTACTACGTCAGGTTCCCCTGTCGAGGTCTCCCGGTTCCTCCTGCCCCTCTCTTCCTGACTTCAGCTCCCCCTCCTGCTCCCTCGGTACAGCCTCCCCCCCCTGGTCCTGCCCCGTCAGGTGTGTCCCACGCTACCCCTCCCCCCTCGGTAGCCTCTCAAGTGCAGCCTCCTTCCCCGCAGTCCTCCTCCCAGCCTACAGCAGACCCTGCGGGAGCCGGTTTTCGTGGCGAGGACCCTGGAGGTGCTAGCTCTAGAGGTGCTGGAGTTGGAGCAGAGAGCGTACCTGTGCGAGGTCCTGGTTCTGGGGGTGCTGGAGTTGGAGCTGAGCCGGTGACTGCAGGAGTCTCTAGTCTTCAGGGAGCTGGTGTTAGTGGAGGTGTCCCTGGGGGTGCTACGACTGGGGGTGCGCCCTCTGCTGGACCTCGAGAGCCTGGGACGGACCCTGTTACTTCTGGTGGTGCTGGCTCTGGGGGTGGTGCGACTTGTTCTTTGGAGTGCGGTCCTCGGGCTACCACCGCTCCGGACACTACTCCTCCCCCCCACCCCTACCCGACCCGGCACCAGGCCCGTGTTCGCCATGCCCGTGAGGAGCAGCTGCAGTTGGAGCGAGAGGAGAGAGAGTTGGAGCGGCGGCAGCTGGAGCTACAGCGGCTGGAGGAGCAGTAGCAGCAGCAGTAGCCGGAGCAGGAGCAGCCGCAGCAGCAGCCGCACCAGCAGCACCAGCAGCAACACCCACCTCCTCCTCCTGTCTCTGGTCTTCGGACCCTCGGTCTCCCCTCTCCTTCTCCCTCCCCCCCCTCTCCTCCCGTCTCTGGTCCTCCGCTTCCTTCTCCTGACCCCTCCCCAGTTGTTTTCCCTCCTCCTATGCCCCCGTTTTCCCCTCCTCTTTCTCACACTTGGCCTTCGCGTCGCTCTCCTCGTGCTCGTCCCTCGTCCCCTGTTCCCTTCACTGACCTTCGCACTGCCCAGGTTTGTTCTAGTTCGCCTTGTTTTTCTCCTTCTGGACTTCCTTCTCCTCCTGAGTCGGCTCTCACTGCTTCCCTCTCTACTCCTGTCACAGACTACTACCACACGTACCATTTTGTTCTCTCTTGTGTTCTCGCCTCTCTTGTTACCGACTCATGTGCTTCTCTGTCCTCTGTCTCAACTCTTACTGCCGCAGTCACTGAGTTTGCCTCTACTCGCTGCCTTGACTACGCCACCAGTCTTGTGGCTGCTCCTCCTACCAGTCCTCTAGCAATCGGGGGTGATTCTGCCCTTGGCTGTGACGCCCTAGAGGACAGGCAGTTTGAGCTGGAGTTCTTGGCAGCCGCTTCCCCTCATCTCGGTGCCATGCTGCTCGCCCCTGAGGGAGACCCTGACGCCCTTGACATACCGACTCCTCGCACTTACGCAGAGGCAGTATCAGAGCCTTCGGCCTCTCAGTGGAGAGCTGCCATGGACTCAGAGATGGCCTCCTACAGATCCACAGGCACCTACGTCGACGAGGTTCCCCCCCTTGGGGCGAACGTAGTCGATGGCATGTGGATCTTCAGGGTGAAGCGGCCACCGGGATCTCCTCCAGTCTTCGAGGCGCGCTATGTGGCCAGAGGTTTCAGTCAGCGCGAGGGAGCTGACTTCTTTTAGACCTTCGCGCTTACCCCGAAGATGACCACTCTTCGGGTGTTACTGCACGTAGCAGCACAGAGAGACTACGAGTTACACTCTCTTGACTTCTCCACTGCTTTCCTTCAGGGTAGCCTACACGAGGAGGTCTGGTTACGTCGCCCCTCTGCCTTCACTGGCACTTTCCCTCCTGGGACCCAGTGGAGGCTTAGGCGACCGGTCTACCGTCTCCGTTAGGCTCCTCGTGAGTGGCACGACACCCTTCGCTCTACCCTTTCTGATCCTGGTTTCCAGCCTTCTGCTGCCGACCCGTCGCTGTTCGTTCGTCGTGGCTCCACACCGTTCTTTGTACTGGTCTACGTTAACGACCTGGTTTTCGCCACTGCTGATAGGGTTGCTTTGGCTGACGTGAAGCTCGAACTGCAGAAGAGACACACTTGCACTGACCTTGGTGAGCTGCGCCACTACCTTGGCCTGCAGATCACCAGGGGCAGAGCTGCTCGTACCATTACACTCTCACAGTCACACAAGGTGCAGCAGGTCCTTCAGCGGTTCGAGCTTCAGCACTCTACTGTACAGCGCACACCTCTTGCCGTTGACCACCGACTCACTGGACCCTTTCCTGACGAGCCGTTTGAGCCTAGTGGTCCTTACGCAGAGCTTGTGGGCTGCCTCATATACCTGATGACTTGTACTCGCCCGGACCTCGCCTTCCCTCTCAGCATCCTTGCTCGCTTTGTTGCGCCAGGGAGACACCGTCCAGTTCACTTGACAACTGCTGTTAGGGTGGCGAAGTACCTAGCAACGACATCAGGCGTGGGGCTGGTTCTTGGAGGGAGACAGGACGTCATGCTTACTGGTCACAGTGATTCTTCTTACGCTGACTACGCCGAGACGCACAGGTCTACTCAGGGGTACTGTTTCAGCCTGGGCTCTGGAGCTGTTTCGTGGAGGTCCACACGTTCCTCCTCGGTCTCGACCTCTACTGCTGAGGCCGAGATCTACGCTGAAGCTATGGCTGCACAGGAGCTACGCTGGCTGACGTTCTTGCTCACTGACCTTAGTGAGCGGCCGAGCTCTGCGCCGACCTTGTTCAGTGATAACAAGGCGACGATTCTCCTCTGTCGAGAGCCGCGACTGGAGAGCAGAGTGAAGCACATTAACGTCAGGTACTTTCTTCTGAGAGAGTTGCAGAGGCGTGGACAAGCTCGTTTAGACTTTGTTGAGTCCGAGGCCAACACTGCAGACATCTTCACCACGGCCCTGCCGCCTTGTGACCACCAGAGGTGTTGTGTGCAGTTAGGTCTCGTTGACACAGGTTCTCGCCTTGCATAGTCTTGAGTTCTCTCCTTGCTTTGTTTATACACTTTACATATACCTCTGTGAACTCTTGAACTAGCCTTGTGGCTCTTTTGCTTGTGCTCGGAGTGTGTGGTGACCAGGCCCCCAGAAGTCAGAGAAATTTCTCTGATTTGCCTAAAAATCTCTGATAGTTCAACCTTAGTGAAACCAACACTTTCATTCTTGACAGTAGGTGTGTTCTGCATCAACTAAAAACCTCCTTCCTAACTTGGTAGAACTACTATTTCTCTGCAGCCTTGGCCTTATTGTAGGCCTCCAGCTCAGCAGCATATCGCATCTTGTCCTTCTGAGACAGTTGCTCGTACTTCACCTTGTCACCAGCTGTATGGGAGAGGGTGGGTGGAGGGGGAAAGAATGGTCAGGGTGGGGGGGAAGGGCGTGGAGAAAAACACTTTATTCTTGTCCTTTTGTGAAGCTTGCTCGTAATACCTTGTCATCAGATCAGCTGCAAGGAAGTTGACTGAGGGGGAGGATAGAGGGGGAAACAAGGGAGTGGGGTTGTAGGGGAGGGTTGGGAAAAGGGCGAGGAGGACAAAACCTTGTCCTGTCCTTCTGTTCTGAGAGGGGTTACCGAGACTGGTAAACGACTCGAAAACGAATGCATGAGCTGAGTTGTGGGTTGCGTTGTGAACTGTGTCACTGTGTGGAACTCTGGAGGCGTCACTCAAACTGGGAAACATATGCCTGAGTTGTCGATTGAGTTGCAGACTGTGTGGCATGGGCCGGGATGGGGAGATGGGGAATTGGGGGTTGGAAACAACAGCATAGACAATGGAAACAGGAAAGGGAGGTGGGGTGGGGTGGATTGGATAGGGGGAAAAGAGGAAAGGGTGAGGAAACGGAGAGGTAGAGAACGGGTAAAAGGGTGGTGGGATAGGAAGATGGGGATGGGAACCAAGGGGCTTGCAGGAATCGAAAAGGCTTGCAGGAGACAGAGGGAAATGAAGGGCGAGAGGAGTAGGGAAAAAGAGAGGGAGGAAGGGCGTGTGGGGGAAGAAGAGGGAAGAGGGGAGTGTGGGGGGGGGGGGGGGGGGGGGGAGAAAGAGAAAGGAGAAGAGGAAGGTGGGCAAATTAATGGGAACGGGACGCGTACAGCTGCACCTGTAAAGTCAGAGGAAAGGGGAAAGGATATGCATACGGTCACTGGTGATTTCGGCATTTTTCGCCAATAGCCTATCTGTGCGATTTATGCACTGCTCGCCAATGTCCTACCTGCGAGGTTTCGCCACCGTTCGCCAATGACCCTGCCGACATCGGCGAAGGCTATGTCAGGCTTCTCGCGAATCACTTTCTGTCGCACAGGCGAAAAGGGAAATTCGCGGGAATACAGCGGAAGGAGAGGTCGGGGAATATTTGAGAGAGGAAGGCTTGAATCCGGAAATAAATATATGCATGGAATTCACGGGGAGAAAAATAATTGAATGGAAGATTCAGTCAGGAGATCAACGGATAGCAAATCCACAAGGAGTCGAATCCGTGGATCGATTCTTGGATTGAGGGACAAAAGACCAACAATCAATGCTCGACGGACCATAGAAGAGAGATACCGTGGACTATTGCTGGGATGCGCTAAGAAGAGATGGACGAACCGAACCAATCACAACCATGGTGACAAGCTAGACGAAAACAACAGCGATGTAGCACGAGAAGAAGAAGAAAGCACGAGAAGGCGCGCGCACAGGTCGCTCTTCAGTCGTGACGACCATGTAAGGGGACATGAGTCACTAAGGACAGTCGATTTTTGAGTCGACTAAAAAATCGACTTATCACACGTGACGACCATGTAAGAGGACATGGGTCGCTAAGGACAGCCGGGTGTGTTACGAGTCAACTCAAAATACACTAAGTTACACGCACAGGTCGCTCATGAGTCGCGAAGACTATATACGCCGACAAAGGTCGCTTAGGACTGTCATCCTTGGGTTTCCGCGTCGCCTTCGGCTTCTCTCCTCCCGCCTTTCCCGCTGGCGCCGCTTTATCGCCTCCGGCCTTCGCGGCGAAACATCGGAACGCGGTTCCGGCGATTTCGGAGGCAGATCCGGGCGATGTGCGGGAGAAACGCGAGACGGAAAATGGATTGGGGAGCCGCCATGGCGTGGAGCATGACAGGTGTGACTACAGCGAGGGGACGCGAGCGTCGAATGCGGAGAGGCGTGGATGCTGCGAGTTGGTCGATGCGGAGATGCGGAGGCCAGATGGTGGAGTGGATTGACGGGAATTTGTTGGAAGCAGCGGACGACCGTTAGGCAGTAGATACCGTTGATGCCAACGAGAAAGTGATGCGCAACCGTCGATGCGGAGTGGGTTGGATGCGAACTGGAGTCGATGGTGGGCGGGTGTGGGAGCGGACGGAAGCAGGGTTGATTTGAATGGAGCGGAGGGGGGGTAGGGGAGGAACTGACAGGCAAGTGGCTGGAAATGAGGAGTTCAAGGTTGGGCGTGATCTAGTAGTCTTTAGTGTGGTAGGGAGAGGCGATATTCCCAAGGGTCTTACGATATTGTGATGGGCCACGATTTGCGATGGGAGTTCGCTATATGCAATAAAATGTGTACTTCCAAACAACCCTAACCCGTATGTGAGGATTATTTCATAAGCTGTAAATACACTTGCATGGAAGTGGAAATACCACATGCCGAATCACAAATTTCATTGCCATAAATATACCTCCGGGCAACCCCAGAATCAAGATACCGTAAGGCTTCTTAGATAGACCTACATAACCAAACACCTTGCTGGGTCCGATCATATGACAGACCTTGTGTCTTAGATTATTCATGAGTTGCTTCCATGATCCATCCCCTCTATAGGTAGTCATCAGGATCACCTTTAAGCACATCAGATGCAAGGCGAGGCTCTCTTCCCAACGCATAAAGAGGCTCCTCTGATGACGTAGCCCCCATTTCAATAAACTTGGCGCGCTCCGATTCGTCGACAATCTGGTCGCCACCTTTAGTAATGTACACTACAGATGTGATGAGCAGTACAAGCACACCCATTACTGCCACGCCTGCTATCACCCAGACAACCACCCCCAAGCCTTGAGGTGCAGGCGCCGTGTGAACTGGAAGGAAGGAAGGCGGGCACAGGGAGAGGGGGGGTAAGGATGAAGGATTGATGGAGTGGACAGAGGAAGGAGAGATGGGAGAGGGAGGAAGGAGGGAAGCAGGAGGGAAGCAGGAGGTGAGAATATGTGGAGGAGGATGCGGATGAGAGGTTTGCATGGCATCCCAAGATTGAAGGTCCAGCAGCAGTGTGCACCACTCAACCCAACAGACAGAGAGAGACAGAACAGACAGAAAGAGAAAGAGACAAAAACAGAGAAACAGGACAGAGACAGAGACAGACAAAGACAGGGGGCGGGGACCAGCTTACCGTCGCCTTCACCCTTGCACACACGTAGAACATGACAGTACAAACTCCAAATTCCCCTTTGGTCCGGCCAGCAGCAGCTCCCCAAAGCCCGCAGCACCACTCAGCCCAACAGACAGAGACAGAGGCAGAGACAGAGGCAGAGACAGAGGCAGAGACAGAGGCAGAGACAGAGGCAGAGACAGAGGCAGAGACAGAGACAGAGGCAGAGACATAGACACACAATAACCCAGCTTAACCACTCAACTCACCATCTCCTGTGCTCATTTCCATCCAAGTCCCGCACGCAAGCAGGGCACGAGAGCACAAACTCAAGTGTCCCCTTTGGGTCGGCCAGCGGCAGCTGAACCCAACTCAACCCAGCTTAACCACTCAACTCACCATCGCCTGTGCTCATCTCCATGTCTCACACACACGCAGGACATGACAGTACAAACTCGAACGTGCCCTTTGGGTCGGCCAGCAGCAGCTCCCCAAAGCCCGCAGCACCACTCAGTCCGACAGACAGTGACAGAGACAGAGACATAGACTCACATTAACCCAGCTTAACCACTCAACTCACCATCGCCTGTGCTCATCTCCAGGTCCCTCACACATGCGGGGCACGAGAGCACAAACTCGAACGTGCCCTTTGGGTCGGGCCAGCAGCAGCTCCCCAAAGCCCGCAGCACCACTCAGTCCGACAGACAGTGACAGAGACAGAGACATAGACTCACATTAACCCAGCTTAACCACTCAACTCACCATCGCCTGTGCTCATCTCCAGGTCCCTCACACATGCGGGGCACGAGAGCACAAACTCGAGCGTGCCCTTTGGTTCTGCCAGCAGCAGCTCAACCTAACTCAACCCAGCTTAACCACTCAACTCACCATCGCCTGTGCTCATTTCCAAGTCCCTCACACAAGCAGGGCACGAGAGCACAAACTCTACAGTGCCCGTTGGGTCCGCCAGCAGCAGCTCCCCAAAGCCCGCGGCACCGGGGGCGGGCGAGTGGCCCTTGGGGGTTGAGAAGTTGGACTCGCAGAGCGGGAAGAGCAGGTAGGGGCTGTCTGCTATCCACCCCTTCTCGTATATGCCGCACGACTTGCACCCGCCACTGTCCATTTGGAAAAGCGGCTGGGATGGGGGAGGGCGATGGGAAAGGGAGGGGAAGGAGGGAAGGGGAAGCGAAGTAGGTAAAGGGCAGTGGCAGAGGCAGAGGGAAAGAGCAGGTAAGGGGGGGAAGAGCAGGTAGGGGCTGTCTGCTATCCACCCCTTCTCGTATATGCCGCATGCCTTGCACCCGCCACTGTCCATTTGGAATAGGGGCTGGGATTGGGAAGGGAGACGGCAAAGGAAGGGAGGGGAGGGAGGGAGAGAGGGTGTGAGTCGAAAGAAAAGAAAAAGAGAGCTGGCATGGGAGAGAGGCTGGTTGGAAGGAACACGAGAGGGAGGAGAAGTGGGGGGAAATGGGGGAAAGTGGGGGCCACATAGAAGGGAAGGGAGGGTGGTCCTTGGGGGCTGAGAAGTTGGACTCGCAGAGTGGGAAGAGCAGGTAGGGGCTGCTGGGGAACCATCACCTTACAACCGACATACAGCAGTTCCAGCCCTCACCTTCCACTCAGCCTCACCTGCCAGTCCTTATGCGCACGCTTCCCTCACCTGCCAGTCCTCCTTCCCCGTAAGGTTCACTTGAATGTTGAGAGCGGTGAGAAGGGCAGGTCGGAGCGATTGCCATCGGGCCCCATCACCCACCTCCCATCATCATACAACAGTCATACAGCAGTTACAACTTACACCTGCCCTCACCTGTCAGTCCTCCTACCCACACCTCCCTCTCCCCTGCCCTCACCTGCCAGTCCTCCTTCCCCGTGAGGTTCACTTGGATGTTGAGCGGCGGCGAGAAGGGCAGGTCGGAGCAATTGGCCATCAGCCCTCACCAACCACCCACCACCTCCCACTGCTACAGCACTCTCCTCAGCCTCACCTGCCAGTCCTCCTTCCCTGTGAGGTTCACTTGAATGTTGAGCGGCGGTGAGAAGGGCAGGTCGGAGCGGTTACCATCCGCGCAGAGGAGGAAGACCTGGGGGAGGAACACCCAGTTGATGTGCTTGTGCAGCGTGATGCTCGTTAGAGTCACATTCGCCACAGCTGGCAACAAGGGAGGCGGGGGATGGAAAGAAACAGGAAAGAGGAGTGAGGAGAAGGGAATTGAGAGGCTGAGTGACAAGTCGGAGTGATTGCTGTCAGTAAAGAGGAGGAAGACCAGGGGGAGAAACACCCAGTTGATGTGCATGTGCAGCGTGATGCTCGTTAGAGTCACATTCGCCACCGCTGAAATGGGGTAGGAGGGGAGGGGGGCGGTTGTCTGGATGTTAAGAGGGGCGGAGGGGGGTGTGGAACGGTGAAGAGTATGCTGAATCTTGAACCCCCAGGGCGGACGATTAGGAGAAATGCAGCCCCGTTGACGGGACGAAGGCTGTGCAGGGGAGGAGTTGTGGAAGGGCGGAGAGGGGTGTTTGTATGTTGAGAGGGGTGGAGGGCGGTGTGGGACAGTGAAGAGGGGTATCTTGAATCCTGACCCCATGCACAGCGAACGACTTGGCGAGACGCAGCCTTGCAGATTGAATGCCAGGGTGTGGCGTGGGAGGGGGTGGAGGGGCGGAGGGATGGGGGTAGGTTGTAGGGAAGGGGAGACAGGGGGGAGAGACGGGTACAAAGAGAGGGCGAAGCACATAGTCAAATCGTTTCGCTTGTGCGGGGGGGGCGATCGATGCCACTTGCATTGAGACGGTCGCTGCAACTTGCATCGAGGCAGTCGCTACGCGTTTCTGAAGCATCAATTGATGCTAGGGTTACGGCCGCTACAGCTTCAACGGAGGCAATTGCGGAGAAGAGAAGTGGGGGCGTGGAGGGTTGGGGAGGAGATAGGAGTGACGCTTAGGAAAGGGAGACTGGCCGCCACGTGGAGCAATTGAAGAACGAAGAACGACGGGCACTCACCCGCCACGTGGATCACTTGTAACGCCATAATTGTAACGAAGAATCGCGAGGACGACTCCTCCTGTTTGCGGTAACCCACGAGATTTCGCCATCTTTCGCACTCGGTCTTGCGCGATCGCGAGCGCTTGTAGAGCTTTATTTCGACGAGTTTGACGAAGGACTCGAAGAAACCCACCGGCTCGCGTAAATTGCGGAGAGCCTGACCTAATTCTCAACCGCGCGATGACAATATAACGGGTAGGTGGTAACGAGTCTGAAGCGCCTCACGCGTGCAACTTAAACCGCCTAAGAAGAGAGCCGATGGAGAAGCAGGCGGGCTCAAGAGGCACTTGCGATGATGCAATCCTAAAATTATCGTCCAGCGATTAGTTATAGAGGCGCCTCGAAGGAACCGTCCTGGAGGGACTTGAGGGCCTATGCAGTGGCAAACACGAGCATGTTTCAGTAAGTTACGCTACGCTACGCGGAACGGGTCGCGGATTGCGATGGCAACACGTAAATCAGGAAAGCGACCTAGATCCACATCGCACCACAGCAAAGAATAATTAGCCTATAATGACTGAGGTATGTTGCAAGTGTACCGCTCCTAGCAAATGCGGGGCACATACATAAAAATAAGGAGCACTTTTCGGGGGTATGGCTGCTGTGGTGATGTGATTCTTGCTTGATGGTCTGGTTCGACTGTGTGTGAGGAGACTTGGCTCGGCTTTCGCGAACCCCTTTCACAAGACCCGAATTTGCGGTCCAGTCTAAACGGGGTCAGCACTGCTACGGGCTCGTTGGGTTCACCTCTCAGGGAACCCTGAAAGGTCTGTTTTGTGACTACATCGAAGGAAGATGGACTGAGTGTGGACACCAGATGCAGCCAGATGCATCACAGCGTCACAGAAATGCTTGTGCCGAACGAGACATTCAGGCTCGAAACAGGCTCCAACTGAGCGGGCACCTGCTGGTGGTTCAGACCATTTGTTTCGGCTGGCAACTGCGGAAGCTACTCCTCAACCCTCTGCATCCCTCTTGAACCCCTCCCACCACTTCTTCACAGACACATACCCCCCATTCCCCAGCAGCAATTCTTCCACACCACACACATCCACCCACCTGAAATCGGCTATGCACATTCGTACGTATTAGTGTGAAGCTCATTCAGAAACCTAGCGTACAGTTGCTGCTGTACTGGTGTGTCAATCCTAATCCTCTGCTTTCGAGTTATGACCTCGCGGCATGGCCAACGAGTTGCGAAGCCTTCACCACAACGGCCAAGCGAGTGAGGCTGAACTCGCTTCTCGCGCCGCGCTTCCGCCAAGCGCCTCTGAGCACTCCATTCCCACAATTTCCCTTCCCCCGTCCGCCGTTCCCGCCTCCTCTGCGCACGTTAACGCGCGTCGAGCCGCCTCGGCGTCGGCCGTCACTACCCTCGGTGGAGCTTCCAATGGGCCTACGCGCGAGGAGCCGCAATGGGAGCGGGAGCTTTCGACGCAAACGGCGTCAAACGCGGCGGTAGTCAAGGCAGAAGTCCCGGCGGTATTCACGCGACATTTACGGCGGCAGCGACGGCGGAATCAGCAGC